TTATAGCATCTTACTAGTAGTTTCGAAATATGTCAGTCCCATTGGAAACAAAAACGATGACTTCCGGTTATGAGAGAAAAACCGCATAAATTGAGTTTCTTACTATCCCATAAATGTCTTTTATAAAAAGAGTATTTGAAATGACTTTAGGACATGTTATTCAGACTGCAAATGTCTAGAGAAACCTCAAAATGAGACTTTTGACCCTTACTCAAAAAGTTATTAAGAAATATTCATTACCTTTATCTAGATTCAGCTTCAGCTTTAAGTGTTTTTCTCAAGTTTAGCTTTAAGTGTTTATCTCAAGTTTACCTTCTCTCTCTCTCTCTCTCTCTCTCTCTCTCTCTCTCTCTCTCTCTCTCTCTCTCTTAACCGTCAAAACCGACTTGTGAGGAATATTGGACGCATGGAAGACATTGTGGGGAAAATGCTTTTGTATTACGTTTTTATTGAAATAATAGGTAATTTTTATCGAAAATAACTGTCTTGTTATAGACTCTCCTTTCTCATCCTAAAATTTACCTATATCTGTATTGTGACGTCACAGGAACCCTGATGTGACCTATCTATCGGCTTCAGCATGTAATAATAAAAAAAAATTATGGGGAATGTTTTAATTTCATTTTTATGGAGAAGGTCATCAGAACTCCTCTGGGTTTACTTTTGAATTAATTTTAAACATCACTCTTGATCATGTTACTGATGTTTTTATGAACAGTTTACTCCGTGTCTTCTACTTATTTGTGGATACAATTTTACATGGACATTTGACATTTTGATGTACCTTCATTTTTTTAAAGGTAGAACCTATGTCGGAAAAGTCTTTGTCACAAGATTTTCAAACTTTTCAAAATGATAAATTAGTACTTGCTTATCAACCAGATAAAAGCACAGGCACCTGTAGTATGGATATCCCCCTTTTTTCTGAAAAAAATGTAAAGGTGCATAATACCTCAAAAATATATATAATCCCTGTCAAACACATCTATATGTCGTTATATGAAAGCAGAATGTACTTTTTCTCACGTTTAAAGAATGACCCTATTCGGTATAATAAAATAGTAAATTGTATTTATTATATTATAAAATTATATATTTTGAGGTATTATACACTCTTACATTTTTTTTCATAAAAAGAGGGGGGTATCCATACTACCTGTAGGTGCCTGTGATAAAAGCTGACAGTGAGGCATAATATATTTCCCGCTTATTTTTAAATGTAGTAGTACAGCCCACAGGCACCAAACTAGCTTGAATTTTTGACACCCCCAGTATATTATACTAGGGGGTCAAAAATTCACCAAACTCGTTCCTGTGGTACAGCCTGTAAAACTTGCCTTCCAAAACATTTCTTGTTATGCAATGTATAAAATGCCGACTTTAAATAAAGAACAAGGTTCACTTTTGCCTTATTTGGCCCTGTGAATTTCTGAAAAACTGAAACTGCATAGTTTTAATTAATAATTATACTTTGCATATCACTTACATCTATGGTGACTGCATATCTATCAAAAATGGCGTCATTTTCTGGCTAGTCAATGCATTATGACGTCACGAAATGCGTCAATTTCCTTATATTTTGAAAAAATCTACAAAAACGGTCAATTTTCAAAAATATTTTTCGGTATTTGATATAGAGCGCAACCTCTGATCTAAAACTTACAACTAGTGAATAATAGAGCTGTTTCTGAGGATTAATGGACATGTTTTAATTTTTACATCAGAGAGTGCGCTCATATTATTTTTTTTCTTTACTGAAAGTACTTAAGGGGGCCGACTATAGTTTTATTGTGTGAAAACTACAATAGCAAAACTTCAGTATACATTCAAAGTTTGGGGAAAATCTACTGTCCAGTCCAGGTATTTTTGAGGGACCGTCTCAAAATACAGGTACATTTACTAAAGGATCATATAGGAAAATGCCAATTTTTAGCTTATATTAGACATTTTGTTCAAACTATAATATTTGGTGAGTAATACTATATTATACAATATATGTAAGAAACACAAAATTCTACCGTCTTGTTACCAGAGGGGGCATCTCAAAATACAAAAAATTAGCAAATTTTACTATTTTTATAGAGTATTACAAAATATGACGTACACAATAGATTCACATGAAAACATAATAAAGATATTGGAGATATTCTCAAATTTCTATGTTGTCAATTTCAAGAGCATATATTTATTACTTTTTCCATAATGATATTTTAATACCCCTTTCTTTAAGAGCTACAGATTATCATAACGTCAAAAACACACTGCAACGACGTCAACCTACCTATCAATTGCAAAATCGCTTAAAAAATCAGTTATTCATATCAAACTTTAATTACATTTTTATACCTACAATATCTTAATTTTGTTTAATTTCAATAATTAAGCGAAAAAAGTTGCATTAAAACAGTACATACGCTTCATTTTACTATGATGCGCGAAATATTGCGCAATGGAAACTATAGTTGGCCCCTTTAATTATACCTGTTTACCTAAAAATTCAAGAACATTGCAATTTCATAAAGCCAGTTCTCCAAGACCTGAACTTTTACCAGACATTTTTTAAAAGGATATGAAGCACCAAGTATTTATTTTATTTTAATGCTTCAAATTAAAACTCAGGTGTTGATTAATCAATTGGTATATCTACAGGACCACATTTGATGCATAAACTGAACCGACTTCTTTACTTACTTACTTACTAACTAATGAATGTGCATGTTTAGCATGTGCTAGATCCATTATGACGTCATAATTAATTCAATGTCATCTTTTCCCGTACTTTACAGCTTCAATAGAAAATAAGTTGCATTTTGAAATGCACAGAATTCAATTCAAACTCATGCCGAAATGAAATAATCTTAAATCAATATATATATATTTTGGTAAGAATGTTAACGAAAATATAGTTCTTGACTTAGAGAAACATGTTTTCACCTTTCATTTACTAGATCTTGACTTAATTAAGTTGACAAATCCAAGACTATCTTGTGTAATGAAATTACAATGCATACAACTTACTGTTATTTACACATGTAACTATTTTGAAGAAATGCAAAAATACTAAGAAATCTTCAGTTGCCAAAAAACTAACCCTAACCCTAACCCAAAGTGTAATATCTTGAAGAAATGTTTCTAAGTCAAAGATGTTCATATGTTGTAGATCATGTATACATTTTTGTGATATTTATCATGAAATGATGTTCATTCCTTTTCATAATTATTTGTTACTTATTCATATTCTTGGTGTCTGATTTCAAATTTTCCATGAAATATGATCTTTTTTAAGAATAAGTTCAATTTTGATAAACATTTGAAAGTAACCCCAAACAATAATTTAAATATAAATCCCGTGTAAGTGCAAAAAGGTCAAGAATATTAGTATCGGTAACTGTAAACCATAGTGCTGTATCTATGTTTCAGAAACGTAACTATGCTAAACACTAAAAATATTCAATTGCGTTTGCAAAACATAGATTACTAGTATCTGATAAATACAGTTTCCACTATGATTTGTGAAACTATGATTAACAACTCTTAACTATGGTTTACGGTCGTAAATTATAGTTTGCAGAAGTGAATCTATATCTATGTCAGGGGCGGAAACAGGATTTGTGGTTGGGGGGGGGGGGGGGGGATAACTTTGTTGAGGCAAGGGGTCTGGGGGCCGCCTTAAGGCCCCCAGTGGGTCCAGGGCAAAGTCCTGGTGAATATTTCTCAAATCTCATTGTAATGCCACTACATGTATAATAAACGATTTAATGACTTACTATTATAGTGGTATAAGATAGTGATGTACCAAAGTACGATGCGTAACTGTTTAATACTAGTCATATCATACTTTGATATGGTAGGGACCCAGGGGGCGCCGCCCCCGGAAGCTCCTGGATTTCTGTGTATTTTAAGAGTAAAACAAGGCAGAATAACAGTGGTTTTGTTAGTTTTGTACCAAAATGTGGCATTATAAATATTAGTTACAACATACTTTGAAAATTTTAGGGACAGGGGGGGGGGCGTGGGCCCCCCCCCACGCCCCCCCTTAAATCCGCCAGTGTATATCTATCAACAAATTTTTTGTTAAGATTTTATTACAGACAGATTAAATTAGATTAACATTAGTAGTATAAACCGTCAAGCTAGGACCGCATTCTGATTGGCTGAGAGAAACCACGTGATCAGTTTTGATTGGTGGAGGGGATAGGTGGGTCAACTGAGTGCAGCCCCTGGGGGATAGGGGGGTGTCAAGGGAGTGCAGCCCCTGGGGGATAGGGGGGTCAACTGAGTGCAGTCCTAATCCAAACTAACCCTCCCCCTAGCCCTTACTAACCCTAACCCGTACCCCCCCTAGCCCTAACTAACCCTAACCCCCTAGTCCTAACTAACCCTATCCCCCTTAGCCCCCTCTAACCCTAACCCCTTTTTAACCCTAACCTAACCTATCCCCTAAATACGGAGTTGTTTACACTGTGTTTACATTGGTACGTTGGTACTACGTTTTGTTTATGCTAACTATACAGGTAAATGCACCGTGTGCAAAAAACATTACAAGAATGTCATTATGACGTCACGCTTCACAGTCTAGACAGCCTAACCAGTTCAAACTGGTTTTTTACTGAAAAAGACAAATAACAAAAACCTGGATTTTTTACTGAAAACAATAACAAATAACACACACAAGACAGATTATAACAAGAATCAATACGTTTTACCTGCGTTTTTATACCTGTTTGCATCAACTGTAAAGAACCGTGTGCAAAAAATTAGGGTCGTGTGCAAAAGAAATATACCTTTTACCTGTGTTTCCTTATATTCCTCTTGCATCATCTATAAAGTGCCGTGTGCAAAAAGTACGGTAAAACTTACCTATGCATTGTGACGTCATCCACGTCAGCGAGCTACCCTATGCATTATGACGTCATACACTTGTAAAATTAAAGTTTCATTTTCACTTTTGTTTCTAAGAAGTCAACATAGATTTTCAAAAAATGTAGGACTATCTTTTGTTTTTCCTCTCTTTTACTTTGATGATTGTTATGTTATGAAACTTTTCTTGTATAAAGCTCAATTTCTCTATGACCACGGAAGTAAACATCCTGATGCATTCTTGTCATGTGAATGTTGAGAGCGTGTTCATTTTTGAAATTTTGAAATCTCCTTTCTGACATATATATTCTACAGGTAAGTTTGTCTTATTTTTGTTTACATTTCCTATGAAGGTCATCTTTGCATTTAACCATGATTTATATGTAAAGTTCTATTTTGAATTTAAATACTGTATTTATCCTCATTTCATGTGATTTAAAGTTATATAACCTGCATGTAACTCAGAGTACATTTAATATTTCTATGATAGGTCATTTTATAATTGAATTTCAATCAGAAAAATGTTCGCTAAATTTTGGTAAAATACATGGTATCTTTTTACATTTCTATCCCTTTTTTCTGTAAATTATTTCTTTACTTACTTTGTAAAATGAGGTTAAATGTGTATCACTGTATTGTATGATTTTTTTCAGGATCAGCTGAGATGTTATTTCACTGGATTATTTAATGGATAGGCTTATTGGGCATATATTTGGATATCTCTGGTAAGTTTGTCTTGTTTTTTTTTTAATTGTTTACATTCCCTATGAAGGTCATCTTTGCATTTAAGCATGATTATATGGTTAATTTAATTACTGTGCAATACTTATGTGATCTGTTGTCTCTAACTTACATTCATATAAATCATGATATAATTTCATAATTCATTATGTATGTTACCCATGGAATTCAGACTTACTAAATGGTGATCAAAGAGATATTAATTAGGAATCTAATAAGAGAAAAGGAGGAATTTACAAAAGATTAATCCTAAGTCTTTTACTTTTTGTTTTGATTCTAAATATGTGTGATATATGCTATACATATATTTTCATTTTCACTTTTGTTTCTTGGTAATGAGCTTTTCAAAAAAAAAATGAAGGACTACATGTTGTACTGTGATGATGCTTTAAAAAAAAATAAAATATGTATTTTTCTGTATGCATTACTGATAGCTATTAAACCAAAATTGAATCTGCTGTTAATAAAAAGTCTTTTAGTGTCTAAATAATTAATTTAATAATCATTTTATTTGTGATATTAATACATTAGTTGTGCTTGTTTATCATCTATAAATAACATGATGAACTTTTCTCATCTCGAGTTAATGTTAAAAACAATTTGTTTTGAGTCTAAACAAAAATATTTTCATGATCTTTTTTGACATTGTACATGTTGTATTTAAACATGCATTGTTTCATGCAGTACTCTGTCATATTAACAAAATGCTTTTATTTCTACAGTCATCAACATGGAATGTATGACTTCGTCTTTATACAGTCGGGTTCGGGTTCGGCGGCCATGGCGAATCTCGGCAAGATTTTACCCCAGTGAAAAAAGACTTGTAATCCACCGTGTTGGTCTTTTAAAGTTGTTTCACATTGTTTATGATTGTGATTATGTTACCACTCACCTATATGTTTAATGTCGGCTATGCTAAATAGCCCATTTCTGTGAAATTTGAGATAATGTTTTGTCATGTGCTCAAAGTATGGCCTGCTATTCATGTCATCATTTAAAGTCTATCCTAAATAAACCTGTCTTAAAAAATACATTTTACAAATGACATTTAATATGATTAGAGTAAAGAAATCCATATATATAAGAGATATTATTTTACATTACATTTATAAGAGGCATTGTCTCATGTAATTTAAATCATAATAACAAAATGGGTTTTATTTTCTATACAGTCCTCAACCTGGAAGATATGTTTTGTTCCTAACCATCTATAATCCATTCTCTATGAAGTGAAGCCTGGCTGCTGGTCTTCCTTTGGAAATACACAGTTTGTCAATCAACATAGAAACACACAAACTTGAAGGTAAAGTTTCAATGAGATACAATTGTAACTTTTATTTATTTATTTTTTTTTTTGTTACATATGCATGTTTATATTTTGGAATTGATAAGTAAATGATATATGATTTTTTAAATAAAGAGGGCTTGGTGGTCATGGTCATGTTTAAACCATATTGATATCCTTCACAAGAAAAGGCATAAAAATTCATGATCAAATTTTAAAACTAAAATGTATGAAGTTTTTCTGTGCCAAATGATAGTTAACAGCTAAAGATAGCATATCTATGGAATAAGTTAAATATGGCTATTTTGTTAACCCCCAGCTTCCATAATAGCATAGTTGGTAAAGATAGCAAGTTTTGACTTCAATTGCTGATGAATTCTGAATTTTCCATTTAATATTAACATTATATCAAAGGGAAAGAATACTATAATGTGGCCCATCAGGATGACCAGAAAAGAAATCTTAATGACCCTCTTGATTATGTATAAAGACTGTAACCATATAACTGATGTAAGATGATCTGATTGTGTGCAAATAAAATTTCCTAGTGTTTCTTCTACCCAAGATCTTCTTATGACTGCATGGGACTGCTGTAAACCTTCTGTTAAAGCACACCTTGGAGCATGACACTTTATTCATAAAAGGTACTTTCAATATCATTTCTATGAGTTTGTGTTCTTTCTTTTATAATAATCTAGTGTTATATCTCCTTTAACCTCATTAATATGTATGCTTCGAAAATCTTAGATCTGTCTGTATAGTTTCTTCACCTCTTTGAACACAAATACCCTGAATCAAACTTTTGAGGTAAACATCATAGAGACATCATAGATGATTATCAGAGTGTGTATCACAATCTTGACCATAAGGTCAATTTAAAATGGTCTAAGGCACAACAAATGAAAGTGAAAACTTTTTTTTTTATTAGAATACATAATTTTGTAATAAACAAATACTGGAAAAGTTACTCTCATAATAAGCCTTAATGTCCTCCAAGAGTTCAGTTTGGACTTCCTCCATTAATCCTTGTATCTTGTAATCCTTGTATCTCCAATGATTTTGTGGGCTAAAAATCATGTGTCTTTTTAACAATCTTTTTTTCTGACAACTGTTTTCTCTTATCATCTATAAACTTGACTTCTTCTCTAGTCAAAGGTATTTCAGGGTAATCCAAGTAATTCTTACCCTCTTTTGGTAATAACCCAGATAGCATGACTACGTTGGCCCAACGTTGGCTAATGGTTGGACCGTTGGCGGATGGTTGGCGTTGGGTTTGCAACATTGGCCCAATGTTGGGCCAATGTCAACATCACACTATTTTACTCAGAGGTCAAGGTTGGTTGGGGACACAACGTTGGCCCAATGTTGGGCCAATATCAACATTACACTATTTTACTCAGAGACCGAGTTTGATTGGGGACACAACGTTGGCCCAACGTTGGGCCATTGTTGTTAGCTTGTCACCACTTAGTTGACGGTTTTTGTTGGGAGTACAACATTGGTCCAACGTTGGGCCAACATTGGTGAATTACGCTCTTATTTTGCTATAGTTTGTTGGACATACAACGTTGGCCCAATGTTGGGTCAATGTCAAGATAACCCTATTTTACTCAGAAGATGAGGTGAGGACACTACAATAGCCCAACATAGGACCGCTGTTTACAACATTGGGTTTACAACGTTGACCCAATATTGGGTCAATGTCAACATTACAATATTTTACTCAGAGGTAAAGGTTGGTTGGGAAAACAACGTCGGCCCGACGTTGGGGCACTGTTGTTAGCTTGTCACCACTAAGCCATCAGATTTTATTTGGAGTACAACATTGGACCAACGTTGGGCCAACATCGATGAGTCACGACCTTTTTCAATACAATTTTTGGTATAGACAACGTTGAACCAACATTGGAATGAATTCATAATTCAGGAAGCATGTAAAATGTTTGTTATAAAATGAGAAAAAAAGATGGAAAGTGAAAAAAGAAATACTTATTTATATTCATTTAATGTTACATATATACCATGAGTAATTTCAACACACGCATAACGATGTATATCAAGTGATATTTTTAGTTTGTGAAACTTTAAAATATGTATAAATGTTAAAACACTTCTATAATTCTATGAAATACATGTTTTAGAGAAAAACATAACATATAAATTTAACTTAAAGTTAAACAATAATAAGTTAATAAAATTAACATGCATATAAAAAAAAATATACAAGGCGAACAAGACACACACTTTCTAAAGTGTTGCATTTAGGGGACATTTTCTGAGATAAGAGAACATTTTCTGACCAAGCAATTAGGCCAGGGGTTTTCACAGCGTGAGACTGGCCAGTTTCTATGGTAATTGCGATATCTGATAGGACAGGATGGTCAAATCTGCATCCTCTTAGCACGCCTAACATTTTAATCTCGGATGTTTCCTACAGCAGAACGTTGAAGATTTTATGCTAAAAGAAAGCTTTGACATGTGAATGTGGATTTTTAGAACTATGTCCAGACATTCAAATACGGAAATGTAAGTGTTTTTTCATATTTTTAAACACAACGAAAATTTAAATTTTGTTTCATGCAATCTTTATCTTTTCTAAGCTTGCTTTAGTCAGGTCAGTCGCTAATCACTGCATGTGTACTTTCTGTATAAAACGTACAAAATAAAATGTATCATTGATCTATGTTAATTATTACCTTAATCAAAATTTATTTGTAAATTTCACTTTTAGATATCTTTGAAATTTTGGCTGGGTCAGTTTCGTTTCATAAATTTCTCTTATATTTTCTACCATTAGAAAAAGAAAGCTTGGAATTGTTACTTTGCGTTTCACATGTTTCAGGGAAATCAAATCTCTTAAGATTAAAGTTCTAATTTTATTTAATTAGTGGAAATAACTTGGTAAATGAAGAGGAGAGTATTTGCTGCCATGTTTTTAAAACAAAATTGCAAAGAATTCCATTTGAAGACAGATAAAGAAAACCGGCTTTTTCAAAGATGACGGGAATTTAAAAAGTAAGTAATAAAATTAACGTGCTCCGTTCCCCTGAAAAATACTATTAGTTATACATTATAATAAATGCAGAAAAAAATTATTAAAAAAATATATCTAAGTTTAAAAAAAATGACATCCTAAATTATACATGTTAAACCTTCTAATAATCGAATATTCTATGTAGTTATAGTTTTGAATACGCTGAATCAATTAAAATACTATAAACATGTGTAAATTAAGTACAGTAACTGCATTTCTCTTTCTTTTTTTGCTCAATAAAATTGATCTATTTTTCATTTAAAGGGGCTGTTCGAACTAACCGCTTGTATGCCATAGCAATTTCTATGGAATTTCACTGCGTACGATCATGAAGGAAGGATAAGACAGACAGGAAAAGAAAGAAGAAAATTCAAAAATACAATGGAGGACAGTGATTGGTTATAAACCTGTTCATAAAAAGTGTATATAAGTAAAATAAGTGAAAAACTTCATTCTACTATAGACAAATTTCAATCTAAATAAGGGACAACCTTTTTTTTTAACTGTATTAAAAAAAATTGTTATTTCAAACTTCCATTTACTTTCCTTGTATAGAAACAATAAATTTATCTTTGATAATTTATTTTGTTTTGATAAATTGTAGGAAGTTTATCAAGTCAGATTTTACTTGTAAATTTAGTAAAGCTAACTTGTATTTTCAAGTAGGATTGGTGGTAGATATTTTTCTGATTGTAGAGACGATCGGATTTGTTAATATACAGATTTCTAACAATAAAATGTTTATACACATTGGGCCAATGTTGGTCTAATATATTGGGCCAACATTGGGCCAATGAGGAAACTTACATTGGGCCAACGTCATTTGCCAACATTGGCCCAACGTTCTTGATGACGTTGGGCCAATGTTGGTGCAACGTTTGGCCAATATCTGTAGAAATAACAGTCTACATTGGGCCAACGTTGGCCCAACATATCGGGCCAACATTGGGCCGATGAGCAAACTTACATTGGGCCAATGTCATTTGCCAACATTGGCCCAATGTAACCGATGACATTGACCCAACGTTGGCCCAATGTTAGCATGCTATCTGGGAAATGGTTATATTCTTCATTTGCTTCTTCTGCAATCAAGGGTCTTTCTATGTAATCTCTAACAACATTAGGATCACCCTTTTCTGGACATAATTGGTTATATTCTTCTTGAGAAATGATCTCAATAGTGCCATCTTTTTTTATTTTAACTGGTATACCTCTGTCTACATCTTTCTCTGAAAGAATTCTCTCTCCAAACTGAATTTTACTTATTCCTTTACTCTTTTCTTTACTAGAGGTGTTACCCATGGTTAATATGAAAAGTCAAAATCTTATGTTACAACTTGTATTTATACCCTTTTTGTCTATATTTAGAATTCCATCAAGCTTATATTGCATTACAATTTTTCTTTTTTCAACTAAGACATTATTTTTTTTATTTTTTCAGGATTCTCTTGTGAGGGCTTATGGAAATGATCTATGTCTACTCTTAGAATGGTGAAAGACTATCAGATTATGCAAAGATTAACAGAATATCCTCTCTTGGAACGCTGAAACAAGGAAACTAAACTTAAGAGGATGGAGGATTTAAGAAGCACATAGATAAATATGATTTCCAGCGAATTTATCCAGTACAATCATAGACTGGTTTACGGGATTACAAAGAAAGGACTCAGGATGGTATCTTTCACTGTCAGACACTGACTATGGATAAAGTGTAATCATTTATCAAACTGAGATCTAGTCAAATCAAGTATTGAAAATATGATTTTCTGATAGCATGAGCTCTTTAAAAACTTATTCTCACAGACCTCAAAGTATTTGAAAGTGACTTTCATTTTTAGCAATTCATATTGAAGACTGTTGTTATGTATGGGAATTACACATTAAAACCTTTTATTTTTCATCTAATTTTTACAACCCCCCCCCTAGAAATTAACACAGATATCCAGATGCTGGATTTAATGTTATTATTAAATTTCCTGGAATTGTAAATATATTTTGTTTGTGTATGTATCATGTTTAATTTTAAATTTAAAATTGGTCTCAATAAGACCCACAATAAAGATGCAAGTGTCCCATAATCTGTGTTTTAATAATATCTTGAATATCTTTATTATACCATATTCATTATACTAATTACATAAAGAATGGTTATAGGAATACACTTTGTTGTTAAGGACACTTTGTCAAGGTCAAAGCATAAAATTATTGAGATGACTTCTTTGACAATAATTTGCAACTTACAAACTTCACATCATAAGTACACACTCAGATGAAGAATCAGTAAGATATTTCTATAGAGTTTTTGGATCATTTACTCCTGGGTAAAAGTTAATTACTGAGATTACTGATTTGAGTCCTGTAATGCAATAACTTA